TAGGAGTTATGGAGAGAAAAAGGAAGTTTTGTGTTTTGCTGGGAGGACTCATTCTGTGGGAGCCCAGAGTGCAGTTGTTCTTTGTAGAATACTTTGTGGGACTTTAATTTTGACTTGTGTGTCAGTTAAGACAATGTCCATTGGCTGTGCTGGGAATGTGATTAGGCTCACCCAGAAATCCCTACCACTCTTGTGAAGCTTTTTGGCCTTGTAATCCTTTCTTCTAAAATCAGACAGGGCTTAGCATTTACACTGTTCAATTTAGCATTTAATCGCTTACTTCCCTTGATTTGCTTCAGAAGGAAGTGTACTCTCACTTCTACCCACACAGATAAAATTACTTGGTTTAAACGTAGAAATTCATGTGATTCTGTAGAAGACATGAGAAATAAAATATTTTGAATCCATAAAACATTTTAAGCACATATACCCAGTGCTATATTAACACCATAGGAATAATAATTATAAGTATATTGCACTTACTTAGTACTTAGTGCAAGTGAGAAACTGTGCTGGAAGTAGCATTGATTTCTTTTTTTAACCCAATCATTAAAATAGTCTTAGTTTGCACATGGAGAGGATGGCTAAAGCCAGTGTTCTAGGGCATGTTTATATATGTGCACTTATTAGTGATTCACTCTTCATCTTTTATTGTCAATTTTAGTTCAAAAGACACATAGAATTTTTATGAAGCATAAATGTTTGCCAAGGGGTGATGAAAAGTACTGAGTGCTTAGTACTCAAAACAGGAAACTAGTAACTAGAAAGACTTTCTTTAAATGACTCCTACAGGGCTGTCTCCTACCCCTGGTTGATATAAACTGATAAATTTAAAAGATTCTGAGCCAAGTGTGGTGTCACATGCTGTAATACCAACAACCATGAGACTGAGGCAAGAGGCTGACTAGTTAGAGGCCAGTCTAGGCTGAAGATTGAGACAATGCTGTCCAGTTAGACCCTATGTAATGCTGCACCCCTGGGATCCTGCTGCTCAGAAGACTCGGCAGAAACATTGGTGCAAGGTTGAAGCCAATTTGGGCTACTGAGTAAAAATTTGTCTTTAAAAAACAAACAAACAAAAACAAAAAAGACTGACAAATTTTAAAAGGAAAGCAGTGATTCGTTTAATGTACTGGGTGTGTAGCAATGATGTTGAACTTATCATCTAGTCACAAACTACTGTAAATTTTTTGAGAAAATATGAAATTATAGCATTGCCTAATGAGGGAGATACTTCAGGCAAACATTTGTGATACCAGTAGGACTATAATTAAATAAGCAGAAGACCAAAGAAGTGAGAAAAGAGAAAGAACTGTCCAAAAAACCTTCATTTAGTTACTCATGGTTTTTGGCTAGCTGTTAAGCTTCAAAGGCAGATAGACAGTATGAGGACTTGGAAGACAACCGCTGCTGAAGACTGAGAACAACAGATATTCCAAGTTGATAGACAGGTACATAGAGGATTGTGTCCCTGGAGAGAGCTGGTGAACACTGTGCTGTTTAGCTGAACTGCCAGTAGGGCCATGTTCAGAAATGAACAACAAGGCCCTGAGAGTAAAGGCAGGACGAGCATAGATCCACAGTAATAAAGTTTAAAAACCAGTCTAAATAACCAAGACAATCTACACATCTAGCTGCTTGCTAGAACAAACTTCCAAACTGTGTTGAGGCTGAGAAGCTAATCTAGAGACTGTATAACATTTCACTTACAGGGCACATGTACTAAACAAGACTTTCTAAAATGCTAATAAGAAGGAAAAACTGACTTACGGAAAAGCTCACATAGTTAATAGGCACAGATCCTGAGATGAGTCATATTGATATTAACAAAGAACATGAAACAAACAACAACAACCCTTTGTGGTAGGGAAAGTGGAAAAAAAAAAACAGAAAAAAGATGGACTATTTGAACAGGATTATTATTTATTATTTATTCTAAAATAACAAAATCTACAATTAAAGACTCATATGCACTGAGCATGAGAAAGGAAGTGTTTTACACCAGGCTGGTTTGAAGCCCTGGACTTTTACCATTTGAGTGTTACAATTCCAGATGTACACTACTGCAACTGGTTTTATTATATGAGTTTTGAAAGTTATATTAACTACATTAAACAATGGACTCAAAGCTGAGTTCAGTATGAGTAAACCCAAGATCAAATTTATTGAAAGTCCCCAGATTAACTGAGTGTGGTAGTGCTACTTTGTAGACAGAAGTGGGCATTAAAATTTGAGCTAGCCTTGACTATATTACAAGGTCTTCAAATCAGAAAGAAGTCGGAAGAAAAAGAAACAGAAAGGATCTCCTCCTGCCCATTCCCAAGCTCAAAGAGATAAAAGGGAAATTTGTGGAGAATAGTTGAAAGGTTTAAAATGTATTTTATTCACTTGATAAGAATGTATCCTAACAAACCTATCCTAAGTGAACAACAGGAGTTGACAATTCATTGTAACACCTTGAACACCAGTTCAGCATAGCATGCTGTTGGCTCTTTATATCCTGCATTAGCCATTGTCACTGCTGTCCAGCATCATAAGAGGACCATGGAACACATCACAATCCCTCAGGAAGATCAAGACTTCAACTATGGTTTTTATTGAGTGCATCAAAGAAAAAACCCAACATGGAACTGAGGCTGCATGGACCTGTGTACTCTCAGTGTTCCAGGAGAGGAAAGAGAGATGGCAGTTCAAAAGTATCACTCAAGGAAGTGGTACTCAAAGTATCTCTATAGTAAAGACAATTCTGCAAGCTCATTGAGACATTCAAAGACCCATTTTTATAGGTGAATAATAGTGAGATTGCTGATTTTTAATGTGGAGAAAGGAAATTTTAATGGATTTGGGATGTAGCTCAGATGGTCGAATGGTTAGCTAATATGCACCAAGCCCTAGGTTCATTCCCAGCACTGCCTAAAGTGCCTTTAATCCCAATATTTGGACAGTAGAGATATGAAGATAAGGAGTTCAAATCCCTTCTCAGCTTCATAGCTAGTTTGAGGTCAACCTTGTCTATACGAAACCTTGTATTTTAAAACCTGGCAAAGAACAAGGACACATTGAGGGAGTAGTAAGAATAATAGTAGAATTCTTATAGATGTGATAGGGCTGTAGGACAATAGATGAAACTTTAGAAATTTTAGAATAAATATAAGATTATCCCTATATAGTTATCAATATATACTTAGTATAAGTATCATACAGAAAAAAGATGCCAATTGTTAGCCATGATAATGTAACTACTACCAGCCTTGACTTTGTGTTCTGGATTGGATGCTTTCTGTTGGACATCTGGAGTGCAGGGTAGTGACTTCAGAGAAATTAGGTAATCAGAGCTTCCACAATCTCCTGTTGGAGAACCTGGAAGGATTACACTGCTATTGGCCTAGGAAGACCAGGGCTAGAACTTAGAACAAAGTGGCTGCTGTGTTCACGTAAGTAGTTTAATGTTGAAGAAGCCATCTTGAGCAATAGAGTGAGAAGTGAGCACAGGGATTCTTGGGAAGTTATGCCTAATTTGTTTCACATGTGAAGTGGAATGTATGAGATAAGGCAAGCAAAATAATATAAATAGGCACAAACCTGCCAATGTACAGAAGGTAAACAATTACCAGGATTCACAAAGAGGCAAGATGTTCAGACTCAGCTTTTCTCACAACCTTCAGTAAAGACGCCAAAAGAGTAGTAGCAAGTTAGGGCCTAAGTTAAGCCTTGGCCTCTATATCAGAGATGGGTTCAGCCTTTATATTCATATACTTGGGAAAAGAATAGGTAATAACTTCCTGCTTAAGGAGAGAGCTTAAAGTATAGTCCAGTAGAATCACATTCCATGACAGGCTTTGTCTGCATTCATAATTTGAGAAGTATGGTTTAGGGATGGCTAAAGGTTGGCACACAGAGGAAGCCCATTGTTTCTGCTCCTGTACTTGTCATAATAGCATTTCTTTTTCCTTTTCCTTTTTTCTCATTGTGGTGCTGGACATGGATCTCAAGGCCTCAAACACCATTAGGCAAGTGGTCTCTCACTGAGCCATACCCCAGCCCGTCAGAGCAGAGTTTACAGTGTACCAGAGAGTAAACTAATGCTATTAATGGTCATTTCTGATGCAAAGTAGGATTGTGACTAATGATGTCATTCAGAGGCATAAACTATGATTTTAATATTAGTGACTATATAACTGGTTTGAATGCTTTTATAAAGAGAGTTAAATATTAATTTAAAATTTATTTTTAAAATTAGCATAGAATTTATCTGTAAATCTCAATAATGTTTTGTAAGAAAACAAAATTCACCCTTTTAATAACATATCAGAGGTCTTTTTTGCTTTGAGTTTACTGACAAGTGGTAGAGCAATAAGTACTGTTTTGTATCTAGAGACTGTTGCTAAAATGTATAAAGAGTTTTTGGAAAAGACTTTTTCATATTTATTTCCTCTTAATATTCTTTCTCAATTTACTTACGATTTTGGAATATTGCATCTCTACTGTTAATTTTAAAATAATATGCTTCTTAGCCCATATTTGGGTTTTGAGAATATAGTTTAGTGTTTTAATTACCATGACTGGTGGGATGGAGCAAGTGTTTAAAGTACTTGCTGTCAACATATGTATACTTCCAAGGCTATAAGATGTGCAAGTATTATGATAGAGAACCTTAAAGAAATTCCTAATTGAAGAATAGAAGAAGTTATTTAAACTTTCATATTTAGGGATGTCCACAGTTGGTACAGTGCTTGCTTAGAGTACACAAAGACCTCAGGTTGACACCATCACCATATTACCTAGGCATGGTGGTGTCCACCCATAACATCAACATTTTGGAGGTTGAGATTGTAAGATCAGAAATTCAAGGTCATTCTTGGGTATATAGCAAGTCTGAAGCCATCCTAGGATGGCTATGATTCTGTCTTAAATTCATAAAATAAACAAATGAGTGAATAGGTTTAGATGGCATTTGGTTTTAACCTATTAACTTTCTTGTTTACACATTTGTATTTCAGGGAAAGGTGGCCCAGACAGCCTGTATGTCAGCATGCAAGCATTTAGCCACATCCTTGATGCAGCTTTTGCTAGAAGCAGAAGTACGACAGCTCACTTTGGGAGCATTACAACAGTTCAACCTGGATGTCAGAGAATGCGAACGTAAGTCTGAAAGCCATCTTTGCCTGCTTGTTTTAAAAAACTTGCATTGTCATTGATGTGAAAGAAAAAACGAACACTTTTAGGCTTGTTGAATCAGTGTTCCTCATAGTATCCAAAAATATCTAAATGGAAAATGTATCTTGCAGCACATCTTGTCTTTATTTCTATATTGACTTTTAAAAATATGTTTTAATTTATATATAATTATATCTCTTTTCCCTTCCCTTTTCTTCCTCCAGCCCTTCCCATTTACCTTCCATTCAACCCCTTTCATGACACCTGCAATTTACAAGTCGATGGCCTCTTTTTAAATTATTATTGTGTATAAATACAAGTGTGTGTGTGTGTGTGTGTGTGTGTGTGTGTGTAAATACAATCTGCTGCCTGTATTTATCTGCCTGTGGTATTTATATGGTTTCAAAGCTTCCCACACTATACTGGCCAACCAGTAAGGGAGCTCATTCCTAGGAGAGGCTAATTCTTCTCCCAACACTCACTGTGACCTGTAGTTCATTGTATAGGAGTGTGAGTCCATGAGATGTTCCCCATTCCTTTTGGTATTATATTGTTTTGGTCTTGTTTAGCTATCTCTAGGAGAAAATTTAGCAGCAGACCCCTTGATATTCTGCCTCTTACTCTCTTTCTGCTTCTTCTCTTCCATGTTCCCTGAGCCATAGATGTATGAACAGTATTAGAGGTATATCTCTTTTGCCTGTGCTCCCTATGATCTATTGATCATTATATACAGTTATGGTTTTCTGCAATCGCCTCCATTTGCTATATAGAGAGGCTTCTTGATGAGAAGTAGTAGATACATTTATCTGTGGTCTAAGGATAAGATTTAGAATGTAGTATGGAATTATCCTGATCTAGCAAATAAACAGCAGGATTTTCTTTTATAATGTCATTGACCTCACTGGCCCTAGAAAGCTCGCTAAGTTTCCAGTGTCGGAATGATTTTCCTTCCGTTGAGTGGGGCTTAAGTCCAATTGTACACGTATTGGTTGCCATGAACATGCACCTTTTTATCCATATCTTGCCATGCTGGTAATTGTAGTAGTTCATAAGTGTTGAAGCTGGGTAGGACTGCAATTGCTTCTTTCCCTTGGTCACTGCTCAGTTTGTTTCCTTTGGTGGTCTTTTGAATAGCATTTATAGTGATTTCCACCCCAGCCATCATTACATATTACCATAAACATTTGTAAAATAGGTAGCTATGTGAGACAGCTAGCCCCTGTGCTGACAATAGGGCATCAATCTCTGGTCTTTGAGAGAGCAGCAGCACAGAAGCTGCTGTATTTCACTTGATTTTCATCTGCAAATTCTATTTAACTGCAACACAGCAGCACTATATCACCAGTAAAAATAAGAATATGAACCCCAACAGATGGGGGGGTGTGGGGCTGATGAGACAGCTGGGGAGTCAGAAGAGGGGCTCTGCAAATCTGCAGTGGGACAGCATTGGAGCCTTTGGTTACCAGTAATTTGCCATGTGCAGGAATGCTGTGATGCTTGACAGGTAACAGAGAAGCCAGTAGAGTCTGTGAGGTGGCTAGGAATCCAGGGGCCATCATGTACTCCAAGACCTTGAGGTGACAACTACCCAGGGACTCATCTTGTGTGTCAGTTAGACCACAGCTTAGTGCAGTTCAGGCTCCAAAGAAACTGTCATGTATTTCTTACTTGTATTAATTTTCATCACATGTTTTGAATGTGTGTGTGTGTGTTATAGGATGACTAAATTGAACCAATAAATTGTATATTATTCCATACCTTTTTCACACTTCAGATCTCTCAGCATTTTTTCAAGAATATAACATATTGTCATAGTCACCGTGTTGTACCATAAATCTCTTCAACCTGCTGCTATCCAACTTGAATTTTTAGTCCTTTGATCTATACTTCTCTAGTGCTTTTGCTGTCCTAGCTACCATCCCTTGCCTTCTACATTCCTCACGTTTGGATGTGGCTCTTATAGATCCACGCTCAAGAGAAATTGTACAGTATTTTTCTTTCTTTGCTTTGTTTATTTCACTTAACATAATGGCCTCCAAATTTTCCATCTCCTATTTCTTGTATGTAAAGACCATTTCATTCTCATTGTCTATGGAAGCCACTGTTTCTTATCTGCTCACCCAGTGATGATAGGGCTTGAACTCATGTCTTAACTGTTCTGTACTGTGATAAACATGGAAAAGCTCTGGAAAAGATTTCATTTTCTCTGGAGAAGATGTTAAAGTGGCTCTTTTTAGTGTTGAAAGAAACTCCTACATTTTCTCCATAACTACTGTCCAGGAATGCACACTCAGCCTGCACTGTAATTTCGTTTCCTTCTTGCTCTCTCTAGTGTTTATCTGTTACCATTAAAAATTGTGTATTAATGTTTTGCTTGCATGTGTATATGTTTGTGTGTTTGTACCTTGTGCATGCTGGTGCCCACTGAAGCCAGAGTAAGGCATTGGATCCCCTGGAACTGGAGGTACAGATGGTTTTGAGTCACTAGTGTGTGCTGGGAATTAAACCTGGATTCTCTGGAAGAGCAGCCAGTCTGACTGCTGAGCTAGCCCTCCATCCAGACTCTGTTGTCCTTTGACAACAGTTCCACAGATATGCAGTGATATTTCACTGTGGCTTTGTGTATCTCTGACCAGTTTTAAATACCCAATAATCACTTATCACTCATGTCATCTTTTGAGAAATGTCTAATCAGATCCTTTGTCCATTAAAACAAAACAAAACAAAAAACCCTTACTATTTTCTTGTTACAGGGGTATTTGAGTTTCTTACATATTTTTAAAACTAATTCAGGGGTAGTCTTGCCACAGCCTAATTAAGCCTACCAGCAAGACTTGAAGGATACATAACATACTTTGAAACTTTAGCACCCACAATTTTATAGCAAACAACAACAACAAGATAAACACCTAAACCAAAAACCAAACCAACAAAAAAAAACAACTTAAGTCACATCCAAGGAACTGTAAAATATAACATATAACAGAATCTGAAGTAGGCATGAAGTATTATTGAGCCCACTCAATAGCACAGATGGGGAATGTATAAGAGCTTTAGAAAACACAATGTAATGTATTCAGTGATTTTAAAGGTAGTGTTTTATAATTCCAGATTTCAGAAGGCTAGAGACAGGAAGAGCATTGTAAGTTCAAGTTTAGCCTGAGCTAGGATCCATAGTGAACTCTAGGATAATATGGTCTATGTAGGTAAAATGTGCCTCAAAAAGTAATAAAATATATAATAATGACTGACAGAAAACTTTTCTACATTTAGGGAAAGGTACTAACCAATTTTTTTCAAGAAGCTTAAAATAATTTATCATATTGAGCCAAAAGAAAGCCACACAATAGCATAGTTAGATTACTAAGTAAACAAATTTAAAAAAATCAGCCAAGGAGGGAAAAGGCATGTGAGTTATTTTGAACTTGGTATAAGAAACATGCAAATCAGGACACTATACAATGGCATCTTCAAAGAGCTAGAAGAAAAAAAAAAAGGAACCTGTCTGTCAAGCTAAGTAAAATAATGAATCTCTCAAAATATACCTGAAAAACAAAAGTTAACATTATATGAAATACACAGAAATTTAAAGAACCTGGAGTCAGATCCATGCCACAGCCAATACAGAAGTTTTTCAGGTTAAAGGGAAATGATGTCGTGTATCATGCCAGTTGTGTTGTGGGTTCATTGTTCAGGGTATGTCCAGCAGTGTTTCTACCATACTTTTCCATAGAGCTTTGAGGCTATATCAGTGAGAGATGGTATCATTCTCCCTCTGAATTAAGGCAGGTTTCAGACTGCACAATAATCAATAGAATATCAAAGCAGCAGCCCTTCCTGACTTGTGAGCCTATACCTGGAGAGAAGACACACCATTCCTGTTCTCAGTTATTGTTGCTTGTAGAGGCCAAGGCTTCCATAGTATGAGGAAGCCATAGCCAACTCATGTAGAGGAGCCACATAAAGAAGGCCCAAGTATGTGCGCCAAGTGAGCAAGCCTGTTTTCAGCTGTCTTACTGATTTATGATTTTCTTCCTTTTTTTTTTTTTTTTTTTTTTTTGCCAGAAACAATGGTAGCTCAATCTCTGGGCACCAACAACTAGAATCCTAATCTTGTATCTGTAATAAATCCAAATCCTTAAGTGGCTAATCCTGGTGGATCCGCTATATAAACTGGGAGACACTAGTAGCTACATCTTGTCCTCACACTGTCCCCATCCAAAAAAGAAACCCCCCCTCTTCTCCTCCTCTCTCTCTCCCTCCATCCCAGAAGTCCCTTCTACTTGCCTAGTGATTGGCTCCTTTATTAATTAGGGAATTGGTTCACAAGAAGTCACCTGACTTCAAGCAAGTCAGTCAGCATATCTGATGAGGAGATATCACCAAGGCTGTATATTCTGTAATGTACAGATTGCAAAACAAAATTTTAGTATCATCAAGATAAATTTTTTTTGTTTGGTTGACTCTCTGGAATCTAGTTCTCTGGGTATCTCTCTCTATCAAATCTGATCCATATTACTCTGGAAGGTGTATAGATACTAATCACATTTTCAAATGCAAAGACAAAACCTTTCTCCCACATGAGCATATCCTTGAGCTAGTAACCATTAAAGCCTTTATATTGACCTTTCTCCCAGAGGAATAATATAACCACGATACTCAAAATCACAACCATTTTGAAAATTAAAACAATCCAAAACAAATGAAGTAAACTAAAATACTGTATGTGTCTATTCTTAGGCCTTATCTATTTTTCTCTACAAGATAATAACCCAAGATTCCTGTGGAGACCATGTTTGATAGAGTTTGAGTATTCTGTAAGGCATATTAGAGCAATATATCTTTATACCATCTTTAAAGCAATTGATTCAAACTTTCACTAATATTTGCCAATAGGAAGCAGGTAGTTTTTACTTGTTAATCTCTCTGCCTAGAGCAACCATCCTGTTATACAGTCTATCTGTTTGGCTCTCTACCTGGAGCCA